GTAGTCATTTTGGGGCGTACGGTGGTGATGATAAAGACACACCGAAGATAGAGCAGAAATATGCCCTATACTATAACATTAAGATTCAGACATTTGATGAACAATAGGATATGGTATCCATCGCCGACATAAGTCTAGCGGGAGTTGACTCGAACCTCCTCAGATGATTGGCAGTCCCACGCCCGACAATGTAATCGACTAGTGGACAACAAAAATTTCTAAAAAAAAATATATATGAGTTTTGATAAACCCTTTTCAAGCAAAAACATACTTTTCTACGAAACAAAAATTGATAACTCTTCTTTGTATGTTTAAAATTTGTGTGTATGTCAAAAACATAAATTTTAAAATACATTTTAAAGCTGGTTGTCCACCTGACGAATACTTGTTTAGGTTGGGAAATAACCCTCTAGGTGAGATTCAAGACACATTTCTAGATGAGTGGCGAGTTCTATACATTCGGGTGACCGAGCAGCCTTCGTGGACCCTCGAGAATAAATATACAGCTGAGCCTAGTCTCATACGAGTGCTTGCGGTCCCCCTCATCCAAACTTTTATTTGTTTTGTTTTATCGAAGCTTTGGGATAGGGCATTCGTGTTACTTTTCCTTTCTTTCGGGATTTTTCCAAGATTTTTGAGGATTTTCTTTTATTTGAGTCTCTTCTCGTTGATTCTCTCGAGTTTTTTGTCATGAGTCGTTGTTACACTCTTTTTCGGATTTCTTGGATGACGTTTTCTTCCGGACTTTGCTTTTGAGATGCATTTAGGCTTGCTGTACTTAACGAACATCGGATCTCACGGGCATACAGGTTTGCTTTACATTTTTCAGTACTTTATTTTTCTGTTCCTACCTGCTACTGTACTGTACAAAATGTCATATTATTCTTGTTTTCTACCTGCTACTGCTCTTCCTGTATAGCATGTTATATTGTTCCTGTTTCTATCTGTTACTCTTCCACATGCATTATATTGTTTCTGTTTCTATCTGTTACTCTTCCACATGCATTATATTGTTTCTGTTTCTATCTGTTACTCTTCCACATGCATTATATTGTTTCTGTTTCTATCTGTTACTCTTCCACATGCATTCTACTGTTTGTTCATGCATTGCACACTTTATACTATATAGCTTTAAACATGCCTCCTTTTTTATATAGAAAATTTAGAGGACTACAACCATAGGGCCGTTTGATTTGACACTATAACTGGACATCCTAGAAAACTTAAACTCGTCACGTCGGTGAGCTTAGAGCTAGCGCGGTGGGCAGCACGACCATCTTCAACAGCAAAACATGTCTTCCCTAGCAAAATCATTCCTTTCCTAGAAATTAAATAACAAGCCATAGGATTTCGAGGTTGTTTGTTTTGCGCAACATAAATCCTCACTTTATCTGTTAGGCCTTTGCATAGTCAGACTGTGAAATTTAAGCCCTAACTCGTTCTAGGTTCCGAGGTTGTCGTTCGATACGGCGTAAACCCTCATATCTTTCAAGCGATTTGTGTGACTATGTCACGTAAATATAAGCCCTAATTAAATAAAATTGGCAGGATGAAACACTTTAATAATTTCTTCTCGAAACTGAAGCCAAATCATAGGATAGATTGGGAAGTCACTGAGGTTCTCCTCTGGATCTGTGGTCTCCCCTAGTTTCTCTTCATTTGGATTTCTCAACATTGTTCTAGGTTCGAGCATTTCCCCTTTCACACCTCTTCGTCCGATTTCGTTGAAAAGTCCTATTCTTTTGACTTCTTTGAGCGCTCTTTCATTTAAACTGTGGAAAATATGAGATCAGTTTGATTTCATATTTTTCCAAAATTATATGTAAATTAAAACGTCCTTCCGAAGCGGGCGACGGGACTTCACTTCCAGCGACCGACAGTTTCTTACGGGCAACCCACAAACTTTAACCAACTTTTTAGCTGCTTACAGTGCCTCATATATATTTTCTGGCGGGGAGAGCACATGAAAATCAAGCAAGCACTTCTAATAAGAAAGTAAAAAATCAGGCTTTTAGATCTCAGAAGAATGCTCGCAGTTGTTATATAAGTAACCCCACCATAGCAAGCATGGAACAAAATACATACTTTGCAATGTTAACATAAACGAAAATAACTTATAATCGAAGACAAAACTCCATGCAATGCAGTGAAATAATCCTAAAAAATTATTCCCATTGCCATGGAGAGCATATGAGCAAGATCCCGAAACCACCTTTTCATAGATTACGAACAGAAAATGAAAGACTGCTTAGAGATCTTGGAGATGGTGTTAGTAGGAGCACTATTAACAAAATTATTTAAAACATCCATGTTCCAATAGTTAGCCATCCAACAATCAGAAACACAGGCTTCACTTATCAAGCCTCCATCACTAGAGCAATGTTCCTACATGAACCAATTGTCCCTCCAAAAGGATAAATTTCCTTGTTCAAAATTCCAACAAATAAAAGATTTAGCGTTGCCTTTAACTTTCAGCAACCCCTTCCTCACTAGAGTCCCCAACTTTTATAGAAATGAGCATAGGATGCACTCATTTACAATAGTTATTATGCATGGAAATTTTCCAAAGTGAAGATCTAGCTTATAATTTGATCCAAAGTTTCAGAAAATTTATTTTAGCAAGATAATGAAGCTCTTTAAAACTCAACCCTCCAAGAAAGATAAGTTCACACAACTTCTTCCAACTGACCTAATTAAAGATCCGCTTCTCACCAGGCAACAAAAATTTATTAAAGCACCTTTCAAGCAGTATTTGGGTGCTAGTTTTCATTTTAAGAACCTGTAATGCATAAAAAGAGTTGGAGTTAAGAATACATTTCAGTAAAGTAGTGTGGCCACAGAATGATTAAAAAGTATTAGTCTAGTAAGTAGTCTTCATTTTATTTTAGGCATCGCATCCTCAAATTGAATTTGCTTCCCTTCGCCCTGTAAAAATAGTAACCCGAGATATTTGAGAGTAACACAGACAAGTTAAAGCCTGTAAACTCTTGAGCCCAATGTTTCATAGAGCGATTGACCTGATTTCATCCCTCACATAATATCATAAACATTTACAAGTAAGCTTTCTATGAAGCAGCGGTTTCAGTTAATTTGGTAATGAATGTATAAAGCAAATCTACTCCTTATATAATCTAGTGGGAAATATATGAAAACGTTCATATGTCAAGTGAAGTAAATATTAGCAAGCTTGCATGGAAAGCAGAGATGGTGACAGGAGACGATACTGCAGATGGAAACGCAAAAAATTTGAGATCCAGGAACAAAAAATAGCAGCTAGCAGGCTTGGTGTGGGCTGGCAGATGTTCGCAGTTGCAGGAAGTAATTGCAGCTTTTCCACACCCTGGGCCAACCATGGTATAATTTAACTATGTTGAGATTGAGATCTAGGAAAACAAAGTCTTTTAACCTAGTTAAGGTTTAGAAACATATGTGATAAGACTAAGAAGGATAGAGTATAATATGATTATATTAGAGAGATGCTGTGATTAGCTCATCAAGGTGCTTAAAAATTGATTTAGGGGATTTAGTAGAAGATGCATCAATAAGACCGACAATAGCATAACTAAAAGATTATGAAGGAAAATGAATAGTGTTTAAGAGCCATTAGATCAATAAAGTCTAAATAAGGAAAATTAGATCTCCAAATAAGCCCATGGATTCATTGCTTATATGGAAATACCTATCTCAGGAATTCACATGCAAAAAGGGAAAGAATGAGCCCACAGATTCCCTTGACATCAATCGAAGATCTCTAAATAATCAAATGATAAATAACTAAAAGCCTTTTTCATTTAATTATTTATTTACCTTTTTATTTATAGTTTTTTATATGAATACCAATTGAAAGAAAGAATAAATCAAGCTTTTCTAATCACTTATTCTTCTACAGTTAGGTTAAGATTAATGACTCATTTCAAAAAAAAAAAAAAAAAAAGGTTTGCACGAGATATAGACTTAACAGTACATCCACTCAATAAGAATAAATCCAACGTGAAATTTTTGTGATAAGGCTGATGAGATATGGGAGAGAAATTTCTGTAGCGGTGTGATTTATTGCATACCAAATTGTATGTATGATATTATCTTATAGTGTTTGGCCATCCTAATATTTAACAGGATTTTTAGATGATATGACAGCCCTATTGGGTGTTAATGTTTCTTAGCTTAGGCATATGTAATCATTCTTCATTATGTTGTAGCTAAAAGTTATTATTTTGGCATGCAATTGAAGAAGGCTCTTGTCAATCCCACAATAAAACTGAGAAGTACAAGGAAAAACAATAGAATGGAGGGTGTGAACTAGTGTTAAAGTGAGAAGATTTTTTTGAACTAGTGTTAAAGTGAGAAGATGAGAAGATTTTTTTTTTTGGCCTCAACTTGCCTGTTTAATGGATTGAGAAACTAACAATGCTTTTTTCCCTGTGCCACTTTCATCCTGTTTCATATTTTCTTGTGCTTTCTCCATGTGTTTGCTGTCCTCTACTGCTGCTATTGATGCACCATTGGTTTACTAATGAGGTGGAAGTTTGAAGATTTACATGATTCAGCCAATATAGTAATATATGAAATATATAAAAAAAAATTCTTCATTTTTTTTTTCAGGGTATTCCTAGTAATGTGCTTTCTTAATTCACATTTTTTCTTGCATGAAGCAAACTCATAAGTTCCGTTTTAATTGCTGTTTGGTCTTTGTAGATCCACGTGATGATCTTGGTGGGATGGATGTTGCCAGAAAGGTCTGATGTTTGGTTTCTTGTATATTAGTCTTTAATTTTCTACTTATATAAGATTCATAGACTGGATGTGCTTAAGCACTCGTGAGTGGGTGCATGGATTAGTTGTTTTATCAGTGTGATCTACTAAAAGTTGGTCGACACATAAATGATGGCTTCATACATATTGGTTTGACTTGCATTGGATTTACCTGAACTGATTGCTCATGTACTTTAGGTTGTACCACAAATTTTAATAGCATTCAAACATTTTTGTGAAAATTATATGATTGGTTCTCATAATTATTGTAAAAAGCAGGCCTTGATCCTTGCTCGCCTTCTTGGACAACGAATAAACCTTGAAGATATTAAGGTCACTGACTACTCTCTCTCTCTCTCTCTCTCTCTCCCATGCACACACGCGCGCTCGCGCGCGCATAACCCCAACAAAGTAAAAGATGGCTTGTTCCAACGCCTAACTTTTTCGGCTAACACATGAAATCCAGTAGAATCATGTATTCTTTTGTACGCCATATGATATTCTGGTGTAAGGATATAAACCAAAAACCTTTTCAGTTGTACAAATTCAAAGAAAAATGAAAAATATTGATTCTTGTATTTTATTTTAGGTGGATTCATTGTACCCTGATGATATGGGTCCTAAATCAATGTCTATAGAAGACTTCATCAACCATGGTCTTCCATTGCTTGATAGAGATGTTGCAGAGAAAGTTGAGGTGGCTACTTTTAGAGGAAACATCCTCCGATATGTGTGTAAAATAGAAGGCTCAAGGTAATTTTAAATATTTATATTTATGGTGATGATCCAAGATAAGCATGATGTGTTCTCTCATGTTTTTTTTTGCCTCTTTAGATATAGTTTATTGTTGAAGTTGTTTTGACTTCCTCTCTTGAAATTACTACTTCAACTTCATATATAGGGAAATCAATCCTTCCTTATTTACAAACTTACAAAACATATCTCACCTAAATTAGGAAAGAAAATAACTCTAAATATAAAATTAAAAATATATAAAGTAGGAAAGGAGTAAACTAATCCGTGGTTTCATAATTCCAATGAAATCTTCCAAGATTTGGAGGTGGGGGTCGGCTCATAGGTAAATATGGAAAGAACCAAAATTTCTCAGATTATCATACTCTCCCTCAAGTTTGATCGTAGATGTTGTAAAGGCCAAGCTTGGTATTGAATTTTTTGAAGGCGTTGAAAGAAAGAGCTTTGGTGAATACATCAGCAACTTGTTGGTGTTTCAGGATATAGTTTAGTTGTATAATTCCCCCATTGACCTTTTTAGAGAAGTGTCTATTAACTTTAATATGTTTGGTTCTGTCATGATGTATGCGATTCTTGGCAATACTGATGGTTGCTTGACTGTCACAAAACGTCTGTATTGGCTTATTGTAAGTACAACCTTGTTCACTTAATACTTTTTGAATTCGGATCCCCTTCACAGATCCCCAAGGAAAGTGTCTTATGGTCTGATTCTGCATTGCTTCTCGAAATAATAACTTGCTTCTTATTCCTCCATTGAACAAGATTTCCCATGCATATGAGCACTAACCTATGGTAGACCTTCTATCAGTGAGTTCTTCAGACCAACTAGTTTCAGTGTATATTTTCACATCTCTGTTTCTTTTTTTGTCAAAAATAAATCCGTTACCAGAAGTCTTCTTGAGAAACCTCAAAATCTTGTATCTCTTCATTTAGGCTATGCATTTGTTGACTCACAGTACTGGTAGAGTATACAACATTTGACCTAGTATGTGATAGATGAATTTCATACCAATATTTGATATCTTCCCTTATCCACTGATATACTTTGTTAGACTTCTTATAGGGTTCTATCGGAGTATCGACAGGTTTGCATCCAATCATGCATGTTTTCTTTAACAGGTCTAAGATGTATTTCCTCTGCGACATAACCATTTCTTTTTTGGACCTTGTTATCTCAATATCTGGAAAATATCTCATGTTTCCTTAGTTCTTGATTTTAAACTCGACGGCAACCATTTTGCTTTTAATGATTTCTATTTCATCATCACAATTAAGAATCACGTCATCCACATATACGATCAGTGCAATGATTTTATCTCTTTGAGTGTGTTTTATGAACAATGCGCGATTAGCTTACTGAGAATATCCATTGGATTCCATAGTTTTACCAAATCTTTCAAACCACTCCCTTGGTGCTTATGCCCATAAGGAAACTTCCTGAGTTTGTATACTAAATTTTTATTGGAATCATTCTTAAGTCTTGATGGTATTTCCATGCATACTTCTTCTAAATCCCTATTCAAGTATATATTTTTTATGTCAAGTTGATGCAATCCTTATTATTTATTGACTGCTATTGAAAGAACTTTGATAGTATTCAGCAATCTCATTGGCTTAACAAGTCCAACTTTGAATCTCTCAAGACTCAATCAGCTTTATATTTGATGTTGAACACCCATTTTCATCCAGCTGACTTCTTATCCTAAGGGAGTTTAGTAAGAGTCCATGTGTCATTATGACTTTGTGTTCGAATCTCCTTTTCAATTGCTTTCCTTCATTCTAAATTTTCAAGAGCTTCATGAATTGATTTAAGAATCTATATATTATCAAAGCTAGATATAAATATTTTGTATGTTAAGGATAGTTTTTCATAAGCTACACTCCTGAATTGGGTACTAGTACCGCTTTCCATGTCATCATCACTAGAAAAGGAAGAGGATAACTCATGATTACTATACTCATCACCCAAAATTTCATGTACATGTGGATTCTGATTTTGGTTCAAGCATTTCTATCTTTGCAAGTTGTCTTCCACCTGTTCAAGGTTTTTCTTTCTCCTAGTGTACACATGAAGGTTTTTGTTATTGGCTACTGGTTGGGTTAGTTGAATATCCTCAACAAGAGTAGGAGAGTCAGGTGGAAGAGAAGGTGGGTTGGTTGTGTAGCTGTTATCAATTGCATCCCAAAATTGATGGTCATTTGCACTCCCCTAGAATATCAAATTTGGAATAGTATGATTGATTTTTTAAAAAATATGACATCCATGAAGCTGTAATATTTTTTTTATAACAAGACAATAACACTTATACCCTTTTTTTGGTTGGAAAATACATTTGATAGATTTACAGTCAAGTTTGGGGCTGGGGAATTAATGTGAAGAAATGATACACATCCAAAGATTTTAAGTTGTACAGTTGGAGAGAGCTCTGATGTGTGGATAGGTAACTATCAAAATATGAAGTTGTAGTTTGAAGTTAAGTATCCGACTAGGCATTCAATTGATAAGATATGTTGCAGTAAGAACTACTTCCCCCCAAAAATGCTTTAAAACTTGATGAGAAATCATAATTGAGTGGGATATTTCAAGTAAATATCTGTTATTTTTCTTTGTTATCCCATTTTGTTGTGGTGATCAATACATGAACTCACATGGATGATACCATTTTTTGAAAGATAGAACCCAATGACTGAGTTAAAATATTTCTTTGCATTATTAGTTTTGAGAATCTAATTTTGCATTGAAATTGAGTTTGAATCATATTATGAAAGGTTTGGAAGATTTTGGTTGTTTCACATGTTTCTTTCATTAAAAATACTCAAGTAATTTTAGTATGTCGTTAATAAATGAGACAAACTATCTTGCCCCAATTTGAGTTTTTATCTTTGAAGGTCCCCAAATATCACTGTGTTAATGAAAAAAAAAAGATGTGAGGGTTTATATTGAATCATAGGATAACTATTTCTAGTATGTATGACAAGTTCACAAGTCTCACATTGATAAAAATTAGATTTTTTATTGATAAACAAGTGTGTATATGACTTTGCAATATAATTGAAATTAGGATGACTTAGATGACAATGGCATAACATGATCTATTTTTCGACAGATATAACCTCAGTGCACTAAAAAATTTGAGGGACATATGAATGTGGGATCAATTAGAGAGAGATTTTCTTTGAGCATGCATAAGCTTTGATGCATTTCAACATTGCTAATCACCTTATCTAATTTGGCCGGCTGAAATTCACAAGAGCTTGAAAGGAATTTAATTATACATTTCATATCATGCGTAAGCTTGCTGATTGAAATCAAATTACAGTCTAATTGTGGAATATATAAGATAAGAAAGAGTAATATCTTGAGAGAGCTTTACATATCCTTTCCCATTAATTTTTTAGGGTGATCTGTCTGCAAGTCTTGCTGATCTTGATGTAGAAGCATCTTGATAGTTGACCAAAATATTGATGTCTCCGGTCATATGATTATAGGCTCTTGCATCTATGATCCAAGTTATGAATCTCCCATTATTGGCAAGATGAGAGAATGATATATTACTTTAGTGGTCACGAGATTGGTGTACTGTTCTGAATTAATTCCAAGGAGTCTCTGTAGTACTTCAAGTTGTTCCTTGGTGAATGATTCGGTCGACCCTTCAGATGTGATAGCATCTTTTCTCTTTCTCTCCTGATTCTTACTTCTGTGTCCAAGTTTCTAGTCAGCAGCATTTTCATGAAATTTCCAACATTTGTCTTTAATATGCCCAATTTTCTTGCAATAATCACATATAAGATGGTTCTTCTTGTCCTTTGAGTCATAGGAAAAATTATGGATGTACAGAGCTAAACTTCCAGTGTCTGGTGAACCCCCATTTCAGGTTAACATTAGCTTCTTTCTATTCTCCTCTCCCGACTTCAGCAAATACTTCAGAGGGAGACGGAAGAGGCTTTGTACCCCTAATTCTCCCTCTTACCTCATCCAATTTTTGAGTCAGCCCTACTAGGAATTTGATGGTCCTCTTAACAAAGGACAATTTCTATCATCCAATTTCTGAGTCTCCTGTGAAGTATTTGCTCAATGATGGATTTAAGGTCACGACATCTTGTGGACATTTTCACACATGTTTCAAATATATCTAATTTTAGCCGATACTTTGTCAGTGTTGAAGTACTGGTTGACACTTGGCTCTCATTGACAGAGGTTGTGAAGCTTGGTTTTGATCTCAAACAATTCTGCGACTAATCGTCTATTTTGTCCATCCACTAATATGAAAAGGAGAAAAGCTTCGAAATGGTTCTCTTACTTTTGTAGGGATCCATTTTAATCCCAGAGTATAAAAGTGCAATTCAATCCTCAGATTTTTTTATTGTGAGTTAAAATAGTATGATGATTATTTTAGCCCATATTAAGAAGGACTGGGGACTAATTTGACACATTTATAGACTCTAAGAATAAAAATGGCCTCATGTAAATAGTCAGAAGACTATTTTAATGCCGCTCATTTGAAAATTCACAATATGTAGCTCTTGTTGGTATTGTTGTTGAAGTCATTCCTACTATTTGTTACTAGTTTCCTTTTTTTGTTGTAATTCTAGTTACATAAGTCATGTGCGGCTCTTTTCATCTATGGTTTTCTTTACTATCTTGTTTGTGTAGGTGGTATTGTTGCTCTTTAGGCTGTGTTCTTCGACTTTTCCATTTATAAGTTTGGAAATTTACATGCACAACACCCAATTCTAATGCATTTAACTGTGACACCCAACTCTTTTTTTTTATAAAATGAGCACCTTACTTATGGATGAAAATTTGGATTTCACTGTTGGAGAGTGCTGAAAAAGATAAGCTAGGTGCTTGGTTTGTGAAAATGAAAGTTTGGGTGTGAGATAGGTAAATGCATAAGAGTTGGGGTGCTGTGTATGTATTTTCGCCTTATAAGTTTTTTTCCCTCTGGATGTTGTAGTCATATTTGGTTGTTTAGCATCCTTTTATTGCATTATATTGG